TCTTGCATTTCCATCAGTTCCATTGTATCTACTACTTGTGCCAATCCTGTCAGATATGGCATTATAAAAAGTGCCCATTGGTCTAGGAGCCATTTGGCTGCCGTTGCTATTCTTTCAAAGGTGTATAAAAACCCCTCTGATTTGCACCAAGCTATGCTTTCCCGGTGGCTTTTCTGTTTGCATTGGTGGTTCAGATTTCTTTTTGTCTGCTTGTTGAGGAATTTTCATCATCTGTTCTAACATTGCTTTTTGCTGATTGATAAGATGTGTCAAAATGACGTCTTGTCATTCTGTCGCCCACCACATCCATTTTTCTGGAGGTAGGGACTGTTACATACAGCACTGATGTTACCTGTCTGTCATGGGTTTGGAGGGAAAGTTCCATCCTATGGGGAGTGGAAGGCGGGACATCAGGAGGAGGGGCTGTACTGTATATATAGCTATCTTAATGCACTGCTTTCATCTGTTGCAACAACTTACGGGGTAGCATTCCAAATTTGTATCGTAGCCATCGAAAGTGATGGCGATACGCTTCTTCGGAGAGCTCTAAAGTGCCCAATATTGCTGCTTTCACCTTAGCGTAATCTTGCATTTCCATCAGTTCCATTGTATCTACTACTTGTGCCAATCCTGTCAGATATGGCATTATAAAAAGTGCCCATTGGTCTAGGAGCCATTTGGCTGCCGTTGCTATTCTTTCAAAGGTGTATAAAAACCCCTCTGATTTGCACCAAGCTATGCTTTCCCGGTGGCTTTTCTGTTTGCATTGGTGGTTCAGATTTCTTTTTGTCTGCTTGTTGAGGAATTTTCATCATCTGTTCTAACATTGCTTTTTGCTGATTGATAAGATGTGTCAAAATGACGTCTTGTCATTCTGTCGCCCACCACATCCATTTTTCTGGAGGTAGGGACAAACCTCCACATTGGTAACCAGTGTGATCTCGCTGCCTGTCATCTACCTCCTTTTTCTTTACTTTATCCAAAGAAGTAGTCGTCACACTCAATTCTTCTAATAAGACCGGTTTATTGTTTAACATTGCTTCATCAATTTGTGAGTCTTGTTTATCATCGTCCAACTTTAACAATGAATCATAAATCTTAACATTATTTAAACTGGGTATCTCTTCACAGTACGGCAATGGGGAATAACTGTTAACTTCGTGGGACCATTTGGGCCTGACACCCATCAACTCAGGCGTGTTCTCAGCCCACTTCAAGTTTGTGGATTTCATGTTGAACTTTCCTGGTGTTCCCCTTTTATTGAGCCATGCACCGTTCTCTAGCAGGGTCTGAAGGGGCTGGGCCCACAGTATTCCTCTGGACTGACTATACATCTCTGCCTTTCTCTCCTCTGTTCTTCCCTCTTTACCCATGCTTTGTACTCTTTGCTTTGCTTTAGCTCCTCAGTCTCCTCCCAGTAAGGTGGCTTTCTACACATCTGGCATCTCCATTCCCTTTCAGCATACGGGACACCTTGAATTCTACCCACTCTCCTGTCCAAGGGTCTTCTTGGATCAGTTCTACAAATTCTTCTTTTTTCCTCTCCTTTCTCTTCTCTTCCCCAACATGCTTCTACCTCTATCCCTCCTTCTCCCTCCTTCTTATCCTATTCCTTTCCTGCCTGATTTGTGCCCCCTTCTGTCTCTTCTTTTATTTCTAGCTTACTTAATTCCTTTTCTATCACTACTGTCTCTTGTGTTTCTGTCTTTATTTGAGAGTCGGACAGTACACTCTCCTGATTCTGGATGAGTTGGTTCTTCACCTCACAGTTCTACATATAAACAGAAAAAGTATAATGTTTATATGTTCCCATACAGATAGGTTTTATGTGTACCAAAAATGTAATGGATGAGACAATGATCTTTGGAAAACTTGTGACACTTAAGTAGGTATGCCAGAGAGGCAGGATGTATTATTCAGATTATATACTGTGCCTTTCCTTCAAGGCAGTCTGTGCTGTTTCCTTCCCACAATCTGCCATTTCTGACTGCTCTGCAATTTACACCAACCATCAGATTGTGTCTTGCTTTTTTTCCAAAGTTCCACATTTACATTCCCTTCCCATGCAGAAAGAATGTTCCCAGGAATAATCACAAGCTATACATATGTAATGAGCTTTTCTGTCATGGAATACTACCCACTTTAAATACAAGCCAAATTTGAATATTCCTTATGGAGCTCTGTTGCAAAATATACTATTTATTTATTTAAAATATTTTTGCCTCACCTTTCTCCTTGAAAAGGCCCCAAGGCAGCTTACAACATTGAAAGACAATATTTAAAGATTAAACGAGTAGACAACGATGGTTAACTAGACTGTACAATTTTTAAAATCCAGTTTACTTTAATAAAAATTTTTAAGGCAACCTGCAGTCTTTAGATGGAGGCTTTATGATCCTGAAGCTAACCCCAAAGGTAAAACCTGCTCTTTGGAAAACCACAGATGTTCAGAAAAGAGGGGTGCCAGAGGTGAGTCATGCTATAATCATTTTGTAGATGTTTCCATAAAATAATGACTAGAACCCTGTTTGATAATTTCTACATCAATGAACTCATGTAGGTTACAAAGACAAATTGTTGCTCAGTAAGAAGGAGCTGGTTATGTTTTTCAATGCATGTTCCACTATGTGATCCGGTATATGCTAAGTAAGAAACAGAACTACCACCTTCTTAGTGAGAAGCAGTTTGTCTCTACTGTACAACATACGGTGCTACACTAGAAAGTTGATTCACAGCCTGTATTATGTTTGAAATTGCAATCACTGCTCACACAGATTGATTCAGGAATACACCATTCCTACTATGCTATATTCCAGCCTACAGCCCCCTTCCTTCTTTTTTTTCTTCCTGTGCTCCTGCTTCTGCTGATCCTTTTATGGTTCACTGTGAGACCACTTTTTCATTTAAAGCTTCAGACTACAACATTTCTTTAAAACTTTTTGATAGAAAAATAACATGGAAAGGTACTTCACAGTCTGAGTACAAAATAAAAAGTCTGAACAGTAATTTTGCAAATTACATCATAATTCACAGGTTACATTTATTCCATAACAGAGGTCACTGTTTTCTGCTTTCCATCCATTACTCTTCTCCCTTCGTTTCAAGTAAAATATGCAGGAATTAGCTCATTTTGGTTGCATATGGTCCTAAATTATTGGTGTGGTAAGCTATGATATGGATGTATATTAGACAGAAAGTAAGCCTTGCACATGACATACAATATAGAACATAGTTAACTAATTTAGCTGGGTTTAAAATATATATTTCCAGGTAGTTAAGTCAACTATATTTTGAAGTGGACATCACTTTCCTATACATTTATGATTAAATTTGATATTGCCTTTAATTAATGAGTAATTTTACTGACCTTACATAATCAGGTTTTTAAAAAATAGTCCTGAATAGTTAGTTTCTGAATGTGTGTAAATGTGTTTGCCCAGCATCTATGCTGCTTTGGATTCTCTTGTGACTGATGCAAACATTGGAAACTTAACTATTTGGGAGTGAAAAAATCTAATTCAGTTAAGTTTAGGTTGAAGGAGGTGGAATGATAAGTTAATGTTAAATTGGTGCCTAAGCTTAAATTCACAGTTTAAGTTTAAGTTAGGTGACTATATGAAAGCTTCACTAGAGAAACCTAAAAAAAAAAAAAAGACCATCCCATTACCCCAAAACACTAACTCAGTTGGCTAACTTTGTTTATTTTGAACTCTTATTATAGAGCTGTGGCTCTCATCAAATAATGATATATAATCCTGTTGGGTTGCATCTTTTCCAGCAATGCTTCATAAATTACTTGTACGCAGGAACCAGTAGTCAAGATCGAGCAATGACTGTCACTGCAGAAAAAGGTTGGAGAAAAATGAAAAATAGAAGTTACTGACAACAATAATTGTATTTAAATATAACATTTATGCTAAACGTTTTGCATATATGCCTGTAATCTGATTGTGGAAACCATCTTAATAAGAAGACAACAATACTTGAATAAATTATAGTTGTGTTGCAGACCAAAAGTTTCAAGCAAAGAATCTATCTATGCTTTGATTCTTGTACAAACAGCCTTAACTAGGGACGGAATTATGCATTATAGAGCAGGGGTCTTCAACCCCCGGTCTGTGGACCAGTCACAGTCCATGGCCTTACCGCGGAGACAAATCTGCCCTTCCACATGTGTAGACACATTCATGCCCCTTCCATGCGCCAGTCACAGTCCATGGCCTTACCACGGAGACAAATCTCCTGCCCTTCCACATGTGTAGACACATTCATGCCCCTCCCATGCATGCACGGCCCCTCCTATGGACACACAGCCCCTCCCACAGATACATGGCCCCTCCTATGCATGCATAGCCCTACCCATGCATGTACAGCCCCTCCCACAGCCCCTGTCTCACACACACAGCCTCTCCCATGCATGTACGACCCTCCCACAGACCCTATGCATGCACGGCCTCTCCCACACATGCATGGCCCCTCCTGTGCACACATAGCCCTACCCATGCATGCACAGCTCCTCCCACAGCCCCTCTCACATGCACACAGCCCCTCCTACATATGCACAGCCCTACCACACACACACACACGGCCCCTCCCAAGCCCCTCACACACAAACACATGGCCCCTCCCATGCGCGGACAGCCCCTGCCATGCATGCACGACTCCTCCCATACACACAGCCCCTCCCATGCACGCATGGCCCCTACTGTGGCCCCTCACACACACACACATGGCCCTTCCATCACACGCACAGCCCCTCCCATGCACACACAGCCCCTCTCATGGCCCCCTCACACACAGACACATGGCCCCTTCCATGCACACATAGCTCCCCCCCTCGGCCCCTCTCACGCCCGCATGGATGCCGCTGCCCCTGCATGCACACTGAACTGGTTTATGGAAGTAAAAAGGTTGGGAACCACTGTTATAGAGGACCCATCACTAGAAAACAGAAATCCGACCCCATAGAGTCAGACATGACTGGACTAGTGCTCTTGTGTGTGATCATTGCATCAGGAGATTTTCGCACAGACCCTAAATTATAAATTACCTTGCTTTATTTTAAGGGATGTGGTGGTGCTGCGGGTTAAACCGCAGAAGTCCCTATGCTGCAAGGTCGGACCAGCAGTCATAAGATCAAATCCACATCACTTGTCCCAGCTCCTGCCAACCTAGCAGTTTGAAAGCATGCAAATGGGAGTAAATAAATAGGCACCACCGTGGTGGGAAGGTAATGGCGTTTTGTGTCTAGTAGCGCTGGCCATGTGACCACAAAAACTATCTTCGGACAAACAGCTTGGAAACGGGGATGAGCACTGCCCCATAGAGTCAGACATGACTGGACTAAATGTCAAGTGGAACCTTTGCCTTTACCTGCTTTATTTTGTGACTGGTTTTCAACCCATAAGAAAATTGTTTGTTTGAGAATCTGATTTCTCAGGCACAAACAACTGTTTCAAATCATGTCTCTTTAATGACCAGTTATAGTTATCTGTACACGCCTTGGTTTTCAAAGGATAGATCACTATGTTTTTGCATTTTTCATTCTGTATTATACTTTTATGTTTGATGAAGCTCTTATATCTGATGAAGTGGACTTATCCATGAAAGCTTATATTAAAAAAATATATAAAAGATACTCTTCCAAGTGCTACCACATTTTTGTCTTTTTAAACTTTTTATTTATATTTTGCTTTTACATATAATACCTCCACAGATTAACACAGCTACCCCTTCTGTAACTTCATTCTGTATGGTTTTTATAACAATCATAATACTTTCTTAAGTGCATAATTATGTTTCACTATTATTTATTTAGATTTCAGCTTATACATAATGCAAACAAATTAGGTGGCTGAAAATTTATGAAAGAAAAGTGTAACAGTGGACTTCATACATTTAAAGATACCTCCACAGACTAACACAGCTACCCCTTCTGTAACTTCATTCTGTATGGTTTTTATAACAATCATAATACTTTCTTAAGTGCATAATTATGTTTCACTATTATTTATTTAGATTTCAGCTTATACATAATGCAAACAAATTAGGTGGCTGAAAATTTATGAAAGAAAAGTGTAACAGTGGACTTCATACATTTAAAAGGTAGTGGCCAATCAAACAGACAAGCAGAGAAAAGAGAAAAAATAAGCAAAGGGGCACAGTCCCCCCCCCAATATCATTCCATACCCTTCTATCAGGTGCAAATCTCCTCTTTCTAATTTGGATTTCTGGCTTTTTAAAATAGCCAGTTCCAAAAAGTGTGTTAAAAGTGCTTCTGCAAAGCAGAAGATCCATGCAGAGACCATAACATTGTTTTTACATGGAAACCAGACCCATCATAGTAGGAAGTGGGAAACTAAGTCAGATTATTGGTACATGTAACCTAGTATTGACAACACTGACTAACAGCAGCTGTCCAGAGTTTTGGACATCATTCTTTCTTAGTCCTTCAGCAGATGTTTAACTTTAAATTGGCAAGCTTCTGCATTCAAAGCACAGACTTTGTCGCTGAAGTATTTTTCACTAGTGCTATCAGAGAGGTGCAGCAGAGGTATGAACATTCTTTTTATGAATGATCTGATCCAATGACTTACAGCGTTATGGGCTCCAGATACAGCTCTAACACTTGAACCAACTCTCCCACTGACCATCTTCATTACAACCTATAAGTCCCTAGAACCATGCCTTCCTTGCTTATCTAGATGCTGTCTTACCTTAACTATTCCTACAGATACGTTTTCTTTTCCCGAACTTGTTTAGGTCAGCACAGTCATGAGTGACCATAAAATTCATTGTTATTTCAGGTCTCACAACTGATCAAGCTCTTATTTATAATGAGGGGAGCAAGCAAGCTGCCCAAGCTCCTGGAAGTGAAAGTCAAGTCAAATTTTGTATAAACGGTAATTTGTCATCAGATAACCTGAAAGCAAGGTAACTATTTAGAATTTTTACAAAGAGTGCACATTAAGGGATCTCCATATGGACCATGCATGCCAGGTTTTTCTGTTGTCTTCCCTCTCAAAATGGGACAAAAGATACCAGAACTTAGTAAGACTTGTGTCCTTACTGGATCAGCAGTGTAGTGTGGATGGGGAGAGTGGTAAGGGTGTCCAAATCCTGACTCACCAAGAAGGCAGTAGGATGTAAGCTTGCAAAGTTTAGCCGGGAAGGCATCCTGTCCATAGTTGCCTGGTAGAACGGATTCCTTCTTTCCAACAAGAGGAAGCTGCTATCAGCCTCATTCTAAGCCCTCGTCTTTTTGTGTAATGACATTGAGGAAGGACAAATCAAGCCCCTCTTGTGGCTGAGATGTGCTGTGGGTGGTCAGGTTGGTGTTTGTTGGCTAAAGCCTTCGAGCTAAGGCTAGGAAGTGCCATAATGCTCTTATCCTGATTATGAAGCAGGACTAAAAATAAACCAAGTATACGAGATGAGGAAAGAAGTATGGGAACCAATGAAAAAGAAGCAGATGGCACCAGGATCCAGGGAGTGTCATCTGGATGTTGGGGGAATTTGTTTTATGGGAAACTTAAAAGGGTACAAATGCCCCATTTGGAACAGTCCTGTGTTAACCTGCTTGTTAAAAGGTATTATCCTATAACATAAGTATTGCTCCTGGAAATGGTTTGGACAATATGCTTCAAATATGCATAAAACCCTGTGGGTTTTATGCACACAAAACACTAGGTAGCTGAAGTTTCTTTTGACACAGTGGCCACAGTTGGACCTAATGATTAGTTGAGAGTTCGATTCCCCACTGTGCTTCCTTGACAGGGGCTGGACTTGATGATTGATAAGGTCCCTTCCAGCTCTGCAGTTCTAAGATGACAATCATTGCTATTATATAGTAACAATAATTAACTATTCTAAGTTGCTTTTCATAGGCAACATGCTCTTATATCCTACCCGATCACCCCTTTCCCCTTGTGGGACAGCATGTGTGTTTGGGACTGTGATGTGATGAACGTCTCTATCTGTGGCTCTATCTTATTTTCAACCTCAGTATAGTTTTGGAGAATATTAGGTCAATGAGTAATTGAGCAAAAGGGTTACCTTAAATTTTTAGCATGTTGTAATGAGGTTGCAACTAACTGCTGTACTGGTAATATAGTTTATTTAAACATCAAGTGTCTGTTACCAACTCTTTTCTTTTAAAGGAAAGACACTCTTCTCAAAGGTTATATAACTAAGAAAGAAGAATCCAAAAAGAGTTTTATTCATTATAAGGACATGGATTTGAAAAAGAAAGCCTATATACCTTTGTGCATTGAAGATGAAATAGAAAAACCAGATGCCAAAGTAATCATAGCTGGCTGCCCTAAAAAGTCCCACATTACAGTGGTAATATTGTCTTTTTCTTTCTCTCCTCCTGTTTAGTTTTATCATGATCCTGTAGACTAGTGAAAGTCCCGTTCTTTCATCTCATTATTTCAGATGGAGCATTTGTTCTTGTATTGTAACTTGTATGTTATTAACGGCCTGGCTATTTCTGCCAGCATTTGTGTGATGTAAGTCTCATAGGGACTAAATCTGTCAAAATCCTAACAAGAATATGCCAACAAATATGGAAAACAAAATTATGTCCTATAAACAGGAAATGTTCAATATACATTCCAATATTTGAGATGCCAAGGAATGCGGTAACTACAGGACCATTGTTTTAATTTCTCATGCAAACAAAGCAATGCTCAAAGTGCTGCAACAAAGGCTTTTATCTTATATGGCTCTATAATGCCTGATGTTTAAGCTGGATTCCAAAAAGGAATTTCTCAAAGCTGTGTTCTCCTGGTTAGTGATGAATGTTTTAACATTCCTATCTTTCTGTCTCTAGAAAATGAGTGAATCATTTCCTGTTCTTCATCACAATGAAGAATACATGGAGAAGTATGTTTTGAACCGATGGCTTGCTTTATATGGAAATAAAGCATTTTATGATATAAATAAGAGGGGTGAAGTATGTACACATTTAAATCCTGTTCTACAAAATAATTATGATGAAACAATTGCAATAATAGAAAATAGAAAAAGCCCTCCTTCTAAAGTAACTGCAAAGAAGAAGAAGAAGCCCAATTTTTCTGGGAAACCAAAACACATCACCATTCGGATTTTATCTGTGGAGAAGGCACCATGTTATGTTCCTTTAAGTTCTCAGAAAACAGCACCATTTCTTCAGAAAACTCATAGACGTATAACTAGAACTGTTAGCAGACACAATATAGTAGGGAGGCACATTCAACAGAAAAAACCTGAAAGTAACAAGGACATTCTTATGGTACATGGAGTGAATCCTCAGAGTAATAAATACCCACATATTGCATCTAGTGTTTTGGTTTCCAGAGTAAAGTCCCAGCTTCCAATATTTTTGGACAAACAATTTACTTCAGTTGAAGAACTCCGCCAGAAAGGCAGAATGATATTTGTGGACTACATTCCTATTTCAAAGCCAATTCCAATTCACCCCTCTGGAGAGGAACTCTTGGATCAAGCTTCCAATTCAGCAATAGTAGGTGACTGCACTAAACTCAGACCAATGGAAATAAGCCAGTCTGAGATGTATCATCAGAATACCTTTGAGCAGAAACAGGTGGATGAAAGGAAGTCAGGTGACATAGATTTAACAGCACAAGAGCACCTGTCTTCAGTCCAGAAAAGCAGTGAGAGGTCAAGCAGATCAACACCATCATTGTCCCTGAGGGGCTTTGAAGCAGAAGAAAATAATAGCCCGGGGGCTCAGAAATCGGGAACTTTGGTCAAACATTCAGAAGAGAAACACATTGCGTCGACTCATTGTCCAGTTATAAGCATACCAACAGCACAGTTCGAGACCTCTGAACTCCACAGACATCAGAATGTGCAAGAGTTTAATGATATTTGAAGGAGGTAGTGGAAATGAATCTGCCTCTTAAATGACTGTAGTTGTGTGGTTTTCTTTCAGCACGGCTAATAAATCTGTATGAGACGTGTTGATGTGATGTGGTTGCAGTCACTGAGGGAGAAACCTTGAGAAACCATTAACAAGTGGGCTTTTATCATTAGTAATATACTATTATACAGGCAATGGATTATCTTTTCATTACATGCTGAAGCCGCTGATGGTTCTTCTAAGGATGATGTGTGCCATCTGCTGTTTCACTATGGTATCACAAAACTGTGATGCCGCATTGGTTGTGCTGTCCTCATTTTCAATGGAGATTTACAGTGATTTAACAAAAGAATCTTGCACACTCTCCCTGTTATGTTCATACTGAAAGAGCTTCCATGGGTGTGCTACCAACTTGCTTCCTAGATCAGTTCACAGTCTTTTAAAGCAGGGGTCTCCAAACTATGGCCCACCCTGCCTTTTTATCTGGCCCAGTCTGGTATGCTGGTTGGTCTGTGGCTGTCTAGAATAGAGGGTAGCAACTAGATATAGGGACGAATCGACCCCCCACCCCCGCTGTCTTTGCAAAGACAGCAGAGGTGGGGGGATCGCTTCTGTCAGGCTTCGCTCCTCTTCCTATCCCCTCTCAGGCATAGGAAGAGGAGGGAAGGGGGACCCAAGACAGCGGGGGTGGGGGATTGCTTGGGTCCCCCATCCCTGCTGTTCCCCCCCTTCAGCCCTCAAAAATGTGCAAAATACATTTTGGAGAACCCTGTTTTAAATTCTTACATCCAGAGTTAAAACCTCAGGCCTCTTTATTATGATGGAGATTTTTGAACGAACTTTGTGATTCATTTTTTTAAATTCATGCCCATCTCTAATCTGGGTTCATTTTATGTTGCCATCATTTTTGGGGTTTTTTGGATTATCAGTCTGGGTTTTAATTCATAATTTTGGCTTTTGATGGTTGTATATTTTCAGGTTCTCTTTGGTCTTGGGGATGGTTTGGGGTATTTATACATTTTTAACTGCCCAAAGTAGTGCATATAACTAAACTGGGTGGTAAAAAGTCTGAAATAAACAAACAAACAAACAAATAACTACTATTTCCAATAAGAGTAGACCCACAGAATCAATCCATTGAATGGTAACTGAAAATATAAGCAAATCCCATTGCTTCAGTAGGCCTACTCTGCTGGAATTAGCATTTGGGTGCAGGTATCTGGCAAACTGATACCCAGTGTGGTGTAATGGATAGACTAGGAGTCTGAAGAACAGGTTCAAATCTCTGCTCAGCCATGGAAACTTCCTGAGGGAATGAACTGGTAAAGCCAATCCTTGAATATTTCACTTACCGTATTTGCCGGCGTACAAGGCGACTGGGCAAGACGACCCCCCAACATTTCCACTCACAATATAGAGTGGACGGCTCGGCTGTGGCGCCACCGCCGGCTGCCCGGGGCTCTGCCCGGGCCCGCCCTGGAAGTTCATGGCCGGTGAGGGCAAGAAGGAAAGGGAAGCGGGCAGCGGAGGAGGAGGAGGAGGGGAAGAAGCAGCAGCTCTCCGGTGCCGCGTGGGCGAGCTGGCTCAGCTGCGAGGGCGAGAAGGAAAGGGAAGCGGGTGGAGGAGAAGGGGAAGGAGAAGCAGCTCTCCGGTGGCGCACGGGTGAGCGGGCGAGCTGGCTCAGTGGCACGGGGCAGCGGGCTCTGGCCGCTCAGGCATGGCCGGCTGTGCTTCCTTCCCTCCCTCCCTCCGGACCAACTGCCTGCCTGCCCGCCTGCCTTCCTCTCTGGCTGGCGCAGCCCCACGTCACTCACTCAATGGCGGTGGCGACGGCGGCAGCTCCTTCCTGGCCCAAATGAAGTCCGCCCGGCGTACAAGACGACCCCCCCCACACACTTGGAGGCATGTTTTTGGGCCAAAAAAGTCATCTTGTATGCCAGCAAATACGGTATGTAGAAAGCCATATTAGGGTCACTGTGAGTCAGTTTTGACTTGATGACAACATATCTGACAGACCACCTGGTTCTCAGCAAACCTGCATTTCTTAAGATCTTCCTTGGAAAGCCTCCATGTAACTTAACTCCACAAGCTGAGGGTAGGTGGATTGTTACTGGAAAGAGTGCTTTCTCGATGCTGGCACCAAGCTGTGTAGCTCTCGAGAAAACAGGTTTGCCTGGTGTCTTTGCTACAATGTTTTAGTCTCCAGGCATTTGTCACCTCTGCCATTCTTTAATGATACTGTATTTAGTTGCATTTAACTTTTTAATATTCCGTTCTCTTAAATTTAGAACCAATATTATTATTCAAAAATACAAGACATAATGTTTGACTGGTGTTACATAACAGATACAGATGTTAATCAAATACCTAAGTATCAGTTAATGATGTTATATCTATGCTGTATGTTCTTCTACTTCAAAAACACCACAATCAAAGTTATAAAACATCGACTAGTATTAAAACAGATACAAGTTTTAACAAAAAGCCTAGGTATCTGTTAAATAGCGACGAGGAGCCCCGTGGCGCAGTGGTTAAACCGCTGTACTGCAGCCCAAACTGTGCTCACGACCTGGGGTTCAATCCCAGGTAGCCGGCTCAAGGTTGACTCAGCCTTCCATCCTTCCGAGGTCAGTAAAATGAATATCCAGCTGGGGGTGGGGGCAATGTGTAGCCTGCATAATTAACTTGTAAACCACCCAGAGAGTGCTTGAAGCGCTATGGGGCAGTATATAAGCAGCACACTTTGCTTTTTGCTTTTTTGCAGTATGCTGTTCCTAGTGTTCCTTTTTTTGTAACTCTGATTGTCTTATTTCTGAGATCTACAACTGCTTATAATATTGTGTTAAATTTGTGTTAAATTTCTTGATATTGTTCCCAAAGTCTCAATGACTATGGAGACTACAGGGGTTTGTTTGTTTGTTTATTTATTTAACTTATATGCCACCCACACTACCCAAAGGTCTCATCATCATCATCATCATCATCATCATCATCATCATCATCATCATCATCATCATCGGCATCATCATCGGCATCCTTCAGTCTCGAGCGACTATGGTATCGTGCTCTGCATGGAGGACTTGGAACAGCGTCTAGTGTTTAAAATACGATAAAAAGACAAAATAATTAAAATGCAATTAAAATATATACTCCAAAAATTGCCATCGGACCCACAGCTGATATTATTTCAATTAAAAGCCTTCTGGAACAGGAAGGTTTTGACCTGGCGCCGAAATGTCATCAGCATTGATGCCAGATGAATCTCAGTCGGGAGGGCATTCCATAGTCTGCGGGCAGCTGCTGAAAAGGCCCTTTCTCTACAAGCCATCCCTCATCTCCTTAAGGGACAGCTCTTTCAAAAGGGCCTCCTGGCTAGATCGTGACTGCCGGGTAGGTTCATATGGAAGGAGGAGGTCCTTCAGGTATCCAGGGCCCAAACCGTTTAGGGCTTTATATGTCAAAAAAAGCACTTTGAACTGGGCCCAGGCAGCAACTGGTAGCCAATATAACTTAAACAGAATCGGCTTGATATGTTCCCTAGTGGCCCCACCACTCACCAGCTGCGCAGCTCAATTCTGGACCACTTGCAGTCGCCGGACCCTCTTCAAAGGCAGCCCCATATAGAGTGCATTGTAGTAACCTATGTGAGATGTTACCAGTGCGTGTGTAGGTGTCATGAGACTCTGCTTGTCCAGTTAGGGCCATAGCTGGTATAATTTCCGCAGCTGAAGGAAGGCGCCTCTGGCCACCGAGTCCACCAGGAGCACCCCCAAGCTGCGGACCCTGTCCCTTAGGGGGAGTGTAACCCTATTCAGGGCAGGGAAATGGCCCTCCAGCCTGTCCGGTGAAGCAACCACTAACAGCACTTCTGTCTTGTCTGGATTGAGTTTCAATTTATTAACCCACATCCAGTCCATTATCAGGTCCAGACACAAGTTCAGCACAGAAATTGCCTCACCAGGAAAATGCAAGGTAGAGCTGAGTATTGTCAGGATATTGCTGACTCCTCAGCCCAAACCTCCTGACGACCTCTCCCAGCAGTTTCATGTAGATGTTAAACAGCATGGGTTGTTGGGTTTGCCTCATAAAAACATTTCATCTTCATCATCATCGTTGTTATTGCTGTTACTGGTAGCAGCTGCATTTTTGTTTGCTTTCATGGATTATTACTGTTTTTTGGTCTTTGTATTGTGCTTTATTCTGCGTTTTGAAAAAAATTCTCAATTGCTGTGAGCCTTTGCTGAGATGATAGAATACAATCTGATTAAACGGTTACAGAGGTTTCTATGCACCATCAAGGCCTGCCATCCTATAATAATCCTACAAATAAATTACCTCCAAATGGTCCTGTCATTAACAGCTTGGTTCAGGTCATGCAGACTAAAGACCATGGCTTACTATAAAAAGTCAATCCATTTCATATTAGATCTTCCTCTTTTCTTACTGCCTTCCATGCTTTGGAGTATTATAAATGTTTTCCAGTGAGTCTTCCCTTCTCATGATATATCCAAAGTAAAATACAGTATTTATTTAATCACTTTAGCTTCTAATTAGAGTTCAGGCTTGATTTGATCTAGAATCCACTTATCTTTCTGCGGCCCACAGTATTCTGTAAAGCTCTCCTTCAGCACCACATTTCAAATGAACTGCTTTTTCCCCGTTAGCTTTCTCCATTATGTAGGGGGCCTGCCTCTGTCTGAATAGCTTGGTGGAAAATTCCAACCATATATTACCAAGGATGAAGTGTTTAACCGCACAGTCCAAAGCCTTCTTGTAACCAGCTTTAAGCTCTCTTTAAGATGCATAACCAGAATGAGAACAACCTTATTTCTTAAAACCATAGGTCATCACAATACAGTGGTACCTCGCAAGACGATTACCCCTCAAAACGCCGAATCTGCATGACGATGATCTTTTGCAACCGCCATTTTGCTTTGCAAAACAGTGACTCCTATGGGGGAATGTTGCTGGATGATGATTTGGTCCATGCTTCGCGGACCATTTTTTTGCAATACGATTTAAAACAGCTGATCGGTGGTTCGCAAAATGGCTTCCCTAGAGACGATCTTCACAAAACAGGTGTTTACGGGCCCGTTTTTT